CTACCTACTTGGGAGGCTGAGATGGAAGGATTGCTTAAGCCCAGCAGGTCAAGGCTGCAGTGAACATACCGCTGCACTCCAGTCTGGGCAACAGAGTGAGACTGTATTAAAAAAAATTAAAAAAAAAAAAAAAAGGGCCGGGCGCGGTGGCTCAAGCCTGTAATCCCAGCACTTTGGGAGGCCGAGGCGGGTGGATCACGAGGTCAACAGATCGAGACCATCCTGGTCAACATGGTGAAACCCCGTCTCTAGTAAAAATTACAAAAAATTAGCTGGGCACGGTGGCGCGTGCCTGTAATCCCAGCTACTCAGGAGGCTGAGGCAGGAGAATTGCCTGAACCCAGGGGGCGGAGGTTGCAGTGAGCCGAGATTGCGCCATTGCACTCCAGCTTGGGTAACAAGAGCGAAACTCCGTCTCAAAAAAAAAAAAAAAAAGCATTTCAAAAAATGGCTCTGATTTGTTTGTTAGTGTTTGCCTCTTAACATTTTGCTTAGTTTAAAATTATGTATGTGTTTGAATAATATATATATATATACATGTTAATAGTTCTAAAAGTACATATAGTAAAAGGTAGTTCTCTCTTCCCCTGCCTTCCAGCTGCTTTCCACGGGCATCCACAAGTACTATGGCCAATACTTGTGAAACCTGGAGTACTACATGTCCATCAAATATAAGACTTGAGTTTGATATTTCAAGTAGCAATAAGGGAAGATAGGAGAGTTTTATGTTTATCAAAAGAGGTGAATGTTATAGCAGATTGAGATGATATGTTCTTACCTTTGGATGGGGTCTTAAGTGGAGCTCAATTTAGTTTCTCCAGTGTTAGTTGGAGAAATTACTTAAACCCTCCATGCTTACCCAGTTTTACTTGGTAAGTTTTCAAAGGTTCTACTTTGAAGAAGGCTTTTGTAGAGCAAGTAGTGGTAGTGAATAGAGCAGCTCAGTTACATGTGTAAGTTTTTTGATGTGGGGAAAGGGCTTTTGTGTAAACGACTATTTTTAAATTACGTGGACTTTAATATTTATTAAAGTGGTAAATTTAAAACCTAGCTTTCTTTTAGTTTGCTACTTGTAAGTATAGAAATTTTATATAGAAATGAGAGCAGTAATTTTCACCTGCTCATCAATTAAGTTAATAAAGTTTAACAGATTTAATTCCTTCAAACCCCTTACTTAGTGAATTAAATTTCCTTAGATGTTTAAAATACATTTATACAGTCAGTCTGTCAAGCACAGTCAATGCTTGATAGGTCAGAGTTACTACCTTAAACAGAATCTTCTTAAGCTCTTTGGCAATCTGTGATGCTAAGAAATTAAACTTGTAAATGTAGTAAAGCAGGTTTCTGTTAAGACTTCCAGTGCTTTTCATTAGCTGAATCTGAATTATCAACATTTAAAAAACACATATCCTAAACTTTATGCAGAAGTACTAGTAGTACTATGAGTTTGATATACCATACCTCAGTTTATTGCTCGTGTCTTTTCTTTCTGGAGTTGTGATGCCACTTACCCAATTAAGGAGAACAGTTTTATTATCTCAGAAAGCCAAGGTTATCAGATTAAAAATACAGAATCATGATAAAGTTATTGGTCAGAGGTTCGAGACTGGGGAAAGGAACTATGGGCTGTGTATTTCCAGGATAATTCCACTCAAGAGATGCTGTGCCCTTCCTTATGTTAAGAGTCCAGAATGTGGCATCAAAGGGGGAATCCACGTTCAGAGTTTGCTTTGCAACCCCCCTGTACTTTTTTTTGAGACAGGGTCTTGGTCACTTGCCCATGCTGGAGTGCAGTGATGTGATCACTGTTGACTGCATCCTTGACCTCCTGGGCTCAAGCAGTCCTCCCACCTCAGCCTCCTGAGTAAGTAGCTGGAGCTACAGATGCATGCCATCATGCCCAGCTAATTTTTTGATTTTTTTGTAGAGATGAAGTCTCACTATGAGCCCAGGATGATCTCAAATTTCTGGCCTCAAACAGTCCTCCCACCTCAGCCTCCCAAAGTGCTGGGATTATAGGCATGAACCACTGTGCCTAGCCTTTTCTTAAAAAATAACCCTTCAATCAATTTTTTTTCCTGGTCAAATTGGATTTTTATTTTATATATTCCTTGTCAGGCCCCATGTTATTTTAATTTTGGGAGTTGGATAGACTAGGATTCATATTCCATGCCTGCCATGCTTTTTGTGAACTTGGGCAAAACACTTAACTCTTCTGAGAATCAGTTTTGTCACCTAGTAAATGGGTTCAACAATAGTAATCTTTGTATTTGTTTTAAGCATTAGATAGTGTGTGGTAAATGCTTAGCACCGTTCTTAGCACATAGTAAATCTTTAATAAATGTTAGAAAATATAATGATCTTGATTCTTCATCTTCTCTCCCTAGTAGTTGATTTGGGACACAGTGTAGCATTATCTGAATTATCAGAGAGTAATTTTTTACCTTTCTGATTTTAACAAGGGACAGTTTGAAAAGGATGGGAGAGGGAAGAGAGAAAAAAAACTGAGTAAATGTGATCAACTGTACAGCCTTTACTCCCTGAACTATCTTTCCCTGAGTTATGTGATACATTCTCCTGGTTTTCCTCTTTCTGTCTTTGTGGCCACTTCTCAGTTCCCTAGGCCCCTCTTCTTGGACCACTCCTTGTTTAAGTTACCAACGATTCCATCTCTGGCCCTCTTGTGTTGATTCTGCACATTCTTCCTGGAAGCACATGTCCGTGGTTTCAGCTTCTGTGCTAATTAGGAGAAAATTTGTACTCAGAACCTATCTGGATGAAAGCTAGTAGCCCACTGATCTCCATTAGGCTATCTCCCAGATACCTACAACAGGCGCAGAACTGACTCATCTTCCCTTTCAGTATGTGATTTTTATTTATTTATTTATTTTTTTGACAGAGTTTCGCTCTTGTTACCCAGGCTGGAGTGCAATGGCGCGATCTCGGCTCACCGCAACCTCCGCCTCCTGGGTTCAGGCAATTCTCCTGCCTCAGCCTCCCGAGTAGCTGGGACTACAGGCACACGCCACCATGCCCAGCTAATTTTTGTATTGTTAGTAGAGACGGGGTTTTACCATGTTGACCAGGTTGGTCTTGATCTCCTGACCTTGTGATCCACCCGCCTCGGCCTCCCAAAGTGCTGGGATTATAGGCGTGAGCCACCGCACCCGGCCCAGTGTGTGATTTTTATCATCTATGAATGTGCCATTCATCTCTATCTTGATGAATGGCACAACACAGTGACCCAAACTGGAAACTTGGATGTTGTTCATCTGGTTGGTGATCTGTTCCTATCTGTTTACATCTGTAACATCTCTCAAATTTGCCTACTTTTCACCATTTCTCCTTTCCCTTAGTTCAGGCTTCTTTTCACCTAGATGACTGCTGCAGGTTCCCTTCTTGTCTACTCATTATTACTTTCTTGTTCCAAGTCATTGAATACATAGCTGCTGAGAGTGATCTCTTTAACCTCCTGATCTAATCATAGCACTCCCCAACCTAAAATTCTATGAATAAAATCCAAACTCCTTAACAGAGCAAGCTTTCATGATCCAACTCCTCTTAACATTGGTAGCCTTATCTTTTCCCTGAGCCCGCTGTCCCTTGATCCTTGGTGGTGCTGTGTTCTTTCTTGCTCTCTATCTTTAGTTGAACTGCCCACTTCCCTCTTTCTTACTTGGCATTAGAATTTATCAGATAGAGATCAGCTCCTCCAGTCAGCATTTCCTTACTGACCACTCCAAGTCTGATCCAGTATAGATTCTTTGCTTCTATCAAGTCACTTACTGTATGATAATTCATATACTTAAATGATAATTCACACATTGTCATGTGTAGATTAAACATTTATAGTCTCAGAAGGGTCCTGATAGTCTAAAAGGTATAGTAATATAGTTGTCTCTTAGTATCTTCAGGTGATTGATTCCAGGACCCCCATGGAGATCAAAATCCAGGGATGCTCGGGTGCCTTATATAAAATGGCATATTTGCATATAACCTATGCACATCCTCCTGTATATTTTATAGGTTCTAAATCATCTCTAGATTACTTATAACAGCTAAAACAATGCAACTACTATGTAAATAGCTGTTATACTGCATTTAAAATTTTTTATTTATTGTATGGTTTTATTTATTTTTTTGATCTGTGGATGTGCAAGCCACAGATAGAGAGGATCTGCAAAATTCATGTTTAAAAGGTAAAAACCAAAATTAAAAAAAGAGACGGTCAACTGGGCCAGGCGAGGTGGCTCACACCTGTAATCCCAGCACTTTGGGAGGCTGAGGTGAGCAGATTGCCTGTGGTCAGGAGTTTGAGACCAGCCTGGCCAATATGGTAAAACTCTGTCTCTACTAAAGATATAAAAATTAGGCCGGGCATGGTGGCTCATGCCTGTACTCCCAGCACTTTGGGAGGCCAAGGTTGGTGAATCACGAGGTCAGGAGTTTGAGACCAGCCTGGCCAACATGGTGAAACCCCACCTATACTAAAAATACAAAAAATTAGCTGGGTGTATTGGTGGGTGCCTGAAATCCCAGCTACTTGGGAGGCTGAGGCTGGAAAATCGCTTGAACCCGGTAGGTGAAGATTGCAGTGAGCCGAGATCCCGCCACTCTACTCCAGCCTGGGTGACAGAGTGAGACTCTGTCTCCAAAAAAAAAAAAGAAAAATTAGCGAGGCATGGTGACAGGTGCCTGTAATCCCAGCTACTTGAGAGGCTAAGGCAGGACAATTGCTTGAACCCAGTGAAGGTTGCAGTGAGCCAAGATCTTGCCACTGTACTCCAGCCTGGGCAACAGAATGAGACTATATCTCAAAAAAAAGAGAGAGAGAGAGCCAATTCTATGTAATTTACTGAAACATGGATTCGCATTATAGATGGTCCCTGATTTATGATGGTTCAGCTTATGATTTTTCTACTATTATGTTGGGAAAGCTGGTGCAATATGTATATTCAGTAGAAATGGTACTTTCAATTTTGAAATTTGTTTTTTCCCAGGCTAGTGATATGCAGTGTGACAATTTCTCATGGTGCTGGGCAGAAGCAGTGAACCGCACCTCCCAATCAGCCAGATGATCAGGAGGGTAAATGACTATATTCTACAGTATGCTGTGTTGTCAGGTGATTCTGCCCAACTGTATGCTAATGTAAGTGTTCTGAACATATTGAAGGTAGGCTAGGCTAACTATGGCATTCGGTAGGTGAAGTGTATTAAATACATTTCCTACTTATACGTTATTTTCAGTTTATGATGGGTATATTTCAATATAGCCCCATTGTAGGCCAAGGAACATCTGTATTTACCCAGTTGGGATCAGCAACATTAGGACTAAGTTCGGTTTAGCTGTTCAGTGAGCCAAGCCTCATGCAGCCTCTAACTCTGTCAATTTTCTGCTTTAGGTAGGACACAGCTCTCCTGAAGAGATTAAGACTTTCTGTGTGAAAAGTGGTATTCAGAAGGAAGCTAGGATTAATTCTGTTTTTATACATTTATCAAGATTTGAAGGAATCTCATTGTCAATTCTGTCTTAATTATATTCTATATAATAAATCATAATCGTATCCAGTAGTACTTGAAAAGTTTGGTTTTCGTGAACATTTCTTTGAATACAAAGTTTTATTAGTTTGTTTCCCAACTAAACTGGGTGCTCTTTGAGGGGAGGAATTTGTGGGACTTGTTTGTTTTGCAGTTATATTATCTCCAGCTGCTAATACAGTGCCTGGTTTGTGGTAGGAGTGAAGGATTTACTTCAATAGAACTCACACTTCTGGATTCCAAATTGAAAGCTTTGTCGAATGAACTGGTATTCTCTTTAAATAAGACAACATGACCTGAGTATAAAGCATAATCAACTGCATGACTCCAGCAAGAAGAACATGTATCCCTCAGGGCAGCCAGATAGCATGGCTGACAGAGGGAGTTATATACATTAACAGGACATTTTAGAGAGCTGGAGAGTTCTTAGATTTTGATGATAGTTTAGAATAGAAATATTTAATCTTAGCTGTATTTAATGTATTATGTATCTGTGATGTATCAAGTATATTTATATGGCATATCATATATATCATATGTTTAATTATATTTAATCCTTAGCTATATTTTCATCCCCCAAATGGTATATGGATCTGTTTTTATTGAGGGGTGGCTGTTTATTGTTGCTTATCCAAGGCTCATGAAAATCTTCATGTTACTTGGGAAATCTTTCATTCTGCCTTTTGAAGGACAGCCTAGAACTGTTTCCTTCTTGGCACATGACCTTCTAACCCAATGACCAAAGAGTATGCAAAAGCATGGTACACTGTTTTTGAAGATTATTTGTGTCTATTCTAGATGTGTCTTATTTCTTGCCTACAAAAGATCGTTTTGATATATATATAGTATGTAGTTAATATTTATAACATATATATTAAATATATAAGTATTCTACTAGAACTAAAATTAACAAGGATTTGAAATAGTGTTGTGTGAGTAATTAAAATAATGATAGTATCTTTTCCAAGAAATTTTTTTTAATATGGTGGAGATAATGGCATGGTGAAAAGTAGTTAATTATTGTTGGTATTCCCATATTTCACCAGTAGGTTGCCATAGGTTATAATAGTTATATAATCAAACAGCAGAATACTTTTATATGAGGTTTATTGATACAGAAATGTTTGGTTCAGTGTTTGTGTTCCAGTTTTGTAGATTTTCTTTCCTGATTTTAAAACTGGAAAATACATTAAAATCCGAAACTTTCAGCCTCTATAATGCCCTCAAAACTCAGTAGGTTTTTAAAATGCCTCTTCCTTCTCTTCTCTCCATAATCCTCCTTATTTTTGGCCTTAAGTGAGTCAGGGGTTCCAAATTCAAATATGTTTTTCGAGGCTATGTAGGCAGTGTGAATGAGAGAATTAAATCTGTTGGGTCCTGTGCTACATTGGAGGTTCCAAGGCCTGTCTAAATGAGTTCAACTTCAAGATTTTTGTATTTTTTTAGGGATGGAGTCTTGCTATGTTCCTTAAGCTGGTCTTGAACTCCCGGGCTCAAGTCATCTTCCAAGGCTTGGCCTCCCAAGGTGCTAGGATTATAGGTATGAGCTACTGTGCCTGGCCAATTTTTTTTTTTTTTTAAACACACTGTGCCATCAATTTGTGGTCTTCACTTTAACTGTGAAAGGACTGCTAAAGATTGTACGTGTAAGATTTAGTTTGTCTTTCTCTTTGAAAGTGAATTCGTTAAACAAAAGCCATAATAAATATACTGTTACTTTTTTTTTTTTTTTTTCCAAGACAGAGTGTCAGTCTGTTGCCTAGGCTGGAGTGCAATAGCACAATCTCAGCTCACTGCAAACTCTGCCTCCCAGATTCTCGTGCCTCAGCCCTCTGAGTAGCTGGGACTACAGGCATGTGCCACGACGCCCAACTGATTTTTGTATTTTTGATAGAGATGAGTTTCACCATGTTGGCCAGGCTAGTCTTGGACTCCTGACCTCAAGTAATCCTCCCACTTCAGCCTCCCAAAGTGCATAAGTGCTGGGATTACAGGTGTGAGCCACCGCACCTGGCCTACTACATATTCTTTTAGACCCAGCTGAGATATTACCTAATTGCTGAAAGCTCCTGATCTCTTCCAGACCAGGGATTGTTTTTCCTCATTTTAAGATGGTCATAACTGTAGTATTGATGACTGTGTATTTTTTTTTTATTTATTTTGAGACAGAGTCTTGGTCTGTAACCCAGACTGGAGTGCAGTGGCATGATCTTGGCTCACTGCAACCTTTGCCTCCCAGGTTCAAGTGATTCTCGTGCCTCAGTCTCCCAAGTTGCTGGGATTACAGGTATACACCACCAAACACCTGTAACTAGCCTGGCTAATTTTTGTAGAGATGGGGTTTTACCACTTTGGCCCTGCTGGTCAAGTGATCCATCTGCCTCAGCCTCCCAAAGTGCTGGGATTACAGGTGTGAGCCACCACACCCAACTTATTAGCCAATTTTTAATGTTCAGTACAACTTGATCATGATGTACAATGTCTTTTTTATGTTACATGTTGATGCAAATCACTGATATTTTGGTTTGGTTTTTTCAATAACAGATCAGAATATTTTCTGATTTTCATTGTCTTTTTTTCTTTGATCCATGTATATTTACAAGTGTCTCTTTTATTTTCAAACAGGTTTTTTTCTAGTTATGTTTTTGTAATGGGTTTATAGATTAATTGCATTGTAGTTAAAGAATATGGCCTATAGGCTGGGCGTGGTGGCTCAAGCCAGTAATCCCACTACTTTGGGAGACCAAGGCAGGGGGATCACTTGAGGTCAGGAGTTCAAGATCAGTCTGGCCAACATGGTGAAACCCTGTCTCTACTAAAAATACGAAAAAAAAAAATTAGCCGGGCTTGGTGGTGGGTGCCTGTAATCACAGCTACTCAGGAGGCTGAGGCAGGAGAATCCCTTGAATCTGGAAGGCCAAGGTTGCCGTGAGCTGAGATAACACCACTGCAATCCAGCCTGGGCGACAAAGGGAGATGCCATCTCAAAAACAACTGCCAAAACAAAACAAAACAAACAAAACACACACAAAAAAATGTGGCCTATGTACACTTTCAGTCCTTTGGAAATTGTTGGTATTTATTTGCTGTTTGGCCTAGTATATCCTTTACCCAGATTCCATGGTGGTTAATGTTTTACAGTTGCCTCCTCTTTCTCATTGTACCTATCTATCTATATAATTTTTCTGAATCATTTGAGAAATAAGTTGCAAACATAATGCTGTATTACCCGTACATCAGGATGTGTTTCTTGAGAACAGGGATACTCTCCTAACTGCAGCACATATATTAAAATAAGGAAATAATATTGATACAGTACTGCCACCTAATTCACAGACCCTACTCAAATTTCTTTTTTTCTTTTTTAAATTTTTGTTTTATCATTTATTTATTTATTTTGAGATGGAGTCTTGCTCTGTTGCCCAGGCTGGAGTGCAATGGTGGGATCTCAGCTCACTTCAGCCTCCACCTCCCAGGTTCATGGAATTCTCCTGTCTTAGCCTCCTGAGTAGCTGGGATTACAGGTGCTTGCCACCATACCTGGCTAATTTTCTGTATTTTTATTAGAGACGGGGTTTCACCATGTTGGCCAGGCTGGTCTTGAACTCCTGACCTCATGATCTGCCCACCTTGGCCTCCCAAAGTGCTGGGACTACAAGCGTGAGCCACTGCGCCCAGGCCCTACTCAAATGTAACTGATCTTCCAATTATGTCCTTTGTAGCAAAAACAAAACAACAGAAACCAACAAAACGCCCTCAAGAAAACAACCGAAAAACTTCCTTTTCTGCTTCATTTATTTCGGATTCAGGGACCATTCAAGATTATGCCTTGCATTTAGTTGTCATGTCTCTTTGGTCTCTTTTAATCTGGAATAGTCCTTAGTCTTTCCTTATTTTCAGTGATCTTGACATTTTTTAAGAGTAGACCAATTATTTTGTAGCATGTTCCACAATTTGGGTTAGTCTGATGTTTCCTTATGAACAGATTTAGGTTATGCATTTTTGGCAGGAATACCACAGACAGGATTGTTGTGTTCTTCTCACTGCATCATATCAGGAGGGTCATGTCAATTTGTCCCATTAACTGGTTATGCTCAATTTTATCACTTGGTTAAGATGTTGTCTGACAAGTTTCTGTAAAATTAGTTCAGAAGTATTTCATACTGGTTAGCAAGAATGCATTTTGTGGGCCGGGCATGGTGGCTCACGCCTGTAATCCAAGCACTTTGGAGGCCAAGGCGGGAGGGTCACCTGAGGTCAGGAGTTCAAGACCAGCCTGACCAACATAGTGAGACCCCATCTTTAAAAAGAAAAATAAAAAAGAAGAATGCGTTTTGTGAGGTGATACTTTGAGACTATATAAATAGCTTACTTCTCATCAAATTTTTTGCTTTCTAGTTTTAGCATCCATTGGTGATTTGTGCCTGAATCAATTATTATAGTGGTTGCCAGATGGTAAATTTAAAATATTTCATCCTTTCTTCTTTATTTATCATTTGGCATTTCTTTTTTTTTTGAGACGGAGTCCTTTGTCACCCAGGCTAGAGTGCAATGGCGTGACACTCTCGGCTCACTGCAATCTCTGCCTCCCAGGTTCAGGTGATTCTCCCA